AAAGGAGGAGCCTTTCCTATATAAATAAAAAATGAAATGAAATGAAAGGCCAGTTCACCTATGTTGGTAAAAAGACATATCCTCTTATTTACTTCTATAATCTAATCAAAGTTGTAACAAAGTTCTACAGTGCAGCTCCTTTCAGTCCTTTAAAGGAATAATTCAGTATTCTTTATCCAGGCCAGTGACTTTCCTGGAACCTTGTTGTCACTGTAGGGTTGCCAGACAGCCAGTGGAGACTTCAGGAAGTCACTGTGCCCTGCCAAGAAAAAATCCAGCCCGTAACCTTTTGTGAAGCCACAAATTGCTATTTTTACACTTCAGTCTTTTAATGGAATACGCAAATGACACATAACAGATTAATTTGTGAGCTGTAGTATGTGCCGTACTCTCTCGTAAAAAAGGCATGCAGCACGTGCACTGCACTCTTTTAAAAAATGTAGATGAGTTGCATAGTACAGCTTAACTCTAATTTTGACCACATTATTTCCAAAGAAATTCCAGTCTGTTCTCTTCTTTGCTTTGCGTGTTTTTTAGGTTGGTACTATGTTGGTTTGGATCATTAATTAGTTCATCCACCTCTACGCCAAGAAAACCTGTGATGATCTGATACTCACATGTGAGAGGGTGTGTGTGTGCGCACACATGTTTGTGCGCACAGACGAATATCTCAGCGCTGGCATTATCATATGACTAATTCTAATATTGTTTTTATCATGTGGGTGGCTGTGGCGGTGATTAAATGGGATTGCTTTTAGCTTTTTTGGATAGCAGATGAGAATGGAGTGTGCATGCCTGTGGGCTGGGTTCGTTGTTTATACTGTTGGTTGTGTATGTGTGTGTGTGAGCGTGTTATTTAACCGGAGGTGAATCATTAATGTGTTTACTCCCAGCTTAGTTTGTGCAGGCTGACCCATGCATTAAAGACAGGCTGCCAGAGGTAAATGTTAGTTTATATAATTCATGATTTATATAACATGGAGAGTAGGATTTCCCCAGGCCTAATTTGGCTGCTCCTCTGGGACTGGAGTGGCAGGCTGTGAGTTAAGACTGATACATACTGATACTCCATATTGGGGTGAGAGGATGCCTGTGGGCAAAAACACCTGGATGCATTAGCATTTGGACAAGAGTGTGTGTAGGTGTATGTATTTAATGCGTGAATCAACAGTTTGGTTGATGGAGTCTTGAAGTGTCCAGATGTTCCTTTAACAGCATCCAGCGACGAATCATACCTCGCTCACATTTTGGCATTTAGCCTTGAAGTGTCACCGGCCTCATGTAAAATGGGGAAAGTTATCCAGTGCTCCAGTACTGGAAGATATTCAGTCTGTCTATTTTAAGACTTGTGTTATTTGTACTCCAATCAGGCTCTGCCAAGTCTTATCTGGGTCTTTATTGTTCTCTGAGACAGCAAACTTCACTCCCATAGAGAAAAAAAAAAGTCCTGAATTCTTGGTCCGCTAGCTCTGAGGCCTATAAATGGTGCATTCTGTCCTGGGTAGCTGAGCAGAAAAAGCTGAGTCCTTGTTGCAGTTTTTTTTCATGGCTCACCTTTTAAGAACAGAAGAAGGCATTTCTGAGGCTTTAGTCCTGCAGTTAAGCTCCTACAAGGACATCGATGTTGTAATAAAAACTCCAGCTGCTCACTATCAGAACGACTGGGAAAAGCAGTGACATATTTTTGCTTGTGAAAACTGGGCAGCTCATAATTATGGAAAAGTGAGCCAGGTGCTGTTGACTGTTTTGGAGAGGCAGCTTATGTCATGTGATGGTGTCAGTATGTTTATGTGCATCGGAGAAGGATGGCTGACCTTCAGCAGCCGGATATGTTTTGTTTTTATACTCAACTCTCCTATTGCAAGGAAAACAAGACGGCATACTAGCAGCTCTGAGTGTGTAAATGAGCTAAATGCCAACATGCTTACAAGGACTATGCCAACATGCTGATTTTTAGCAGGTATGATGCATGTTCCCCATCTTAGTTTAGCGTGTTGCCATTGACCCCATGATGGGGATGGTTGTCACAAGTGCACATATTTGACAGTCCATTTTTTTAAGCAGAATACGCTTAAGGGGAGTGAGGTCACTCCATTCCTACCTGACACTTTAAGTCCAGTTCAGACCAAAGATTTGCAACAAGACAAAACTGTTTTAGAAAGTTGCAGAGAAAAGTTGCAGTGGTGTGAACTGGCTGGTTTGAGCTCGATTCAAACCAGCCAATGGTGTCACCTGCAGCTCAGCTCGTCAAATGGCTAGCAGCTGGTTTTGGTATGTAAGGCATGTCACCTGTTTCTGCAGCCAATCAGCTTGTAGTGAAGTCCGCTGGTGAAGTCGAAATGACCGCAGACGGTGTGTGCGCTTGTTGCAGCAGGTGCTCCGTCCCTGCCAGGCCTGTTTTCTTCCTCATGGTGTGCTGGTGTTGGACGGTTGGTTGCTGCTGCTGCTCACTGTATGTGCTTATGTCCCCTAACAACTGATTAATTGGCGCTGCTTACTTATATTATTGTGGTGTATCTATGATGAATATAGTCCATCAGATGCTGGTTTTTTGTTTCTGTTTTTCACCGTTTCATCACTACTACATGTGCAGCTGTAGCCAGTATCTCACTATCACTATCCTCAGTCATATTTTAAGAAGCTACAAATTATATTCAGCCACAAAATAAGCCTGAAAAGCTGGAAAACATAGCAGAAGTACAGAAAGTTGTTGCATAGAGATGATAGACAGACTCATGTAGTTGCATTGATGTGAACCGGCAGGTTTTTAGAACGTTGCAGAACAACGCATTGCAAGATGTTGCCTGTTTCAACTTGTCTCAACACAAATCTTTGGTCTAAACAGGGCTTCAGTCTTCCATTACACATAAAAAGGGAGTCCACTGGATGCGTGTCCGCTGCGGAACGGCAGCGCTAGTTATCCGATGCGTGCTCCGCCATCCGTCAACACCCACTGGCTGTGTTTGCTGTGCGGAGCGGTGCAGCTCTGCTGGACAGTGGGAGTCACGAGGACCCACGAGATCTCGCGAATTCACACATAATCGCGCAATATAACAAGATCTAGTTTCTATAAACAGAACCACAAAACCAGAGGAGTAGTAGGAAGACATCTTGGTGCACTTCCATGATTAACATCTCCTCGTCCATGGTGTCAACCGGGTTAAGGGACGTCTGAAAACCTCTGACCTGTTGACTTCAGGCCTGCCTCCGCCCATTATGACGTTTTCAAGGTGTAGTGCAGGGAAATATGATCCACCGTGAACACTGTGTATTATAATTTGAAAAATAAAAAGATGTTTTATTTTGTTTCTGTGCACGACTTACTGCCCCGCACGATCTGCTCTGTGCTGAATTGCTGCGTTGTGCTGTGGCGTCCAGCAAAAATAGAAGTCCTGCGTATCTGTTGCGGAGGGCTCCGGAGCACTGCAGCTGTGACGGAGCCGGAACGCAGCCCAGCCGCAGCCGGTGGAAGCACACACATTGACTACAATTGAAACGTATTGGCTCAGCTGCCGTTTGGCGACCAGCCCCATTCTTCCCTACAAGATGAACTTTACTGTGATTCAAGACTATACACATAAGAGGTGCACATCATTTAATCCTAGCTCAATGTGCAAGTAAAAACAGACAAAACCTGGATAAAAACATACGAAACAACATGCATGTTAACAATGGATGGATGGATGGATGGATGGATAGTTTATTTGTCATCGAGGAGCAAATTCTTTTGCATAGCATGTGTAAACAAAAAAAGATTTGCAGTGGTTGGTAGAACACAAAGAGCAGCTGTGGCTGATGCGAATGTAATTAGTTTTACATAAGTGATGAGGGGAACATTAATGTGTTAACCTGATTTCATGGTCATCCATCCAGCAACTGTTAGATTTCACTGACAAACATTAAATTGAATTTCATGGTGGGAAGTTAGTAGCATACATTATCTCAGGACTTACTGTACTCTGCTTCATTATATCTATTTGACAGGGACGGTGCATTTTAATAACATTTCTGAAAATATGCCGTAGTCACCCAGAAAGACTAATTTGCATCTGTCGTCTAAATGTGATCAGACCACAATGTGTCCTAGTGGTCGTTTAGCACCGTCCACTTCGTCCACACATTAAGTCCAGGTATAAACAGACTCAAACGTACCCATTTATAATGTTTACATTGTCTGGTTTGAAATGCTCTATACATATATGGCTGCATACTAAAAGACTATCCACACATCCATCAGCAATGGACTAAATACACAGCAGCAGCGTATTACCGAAGCGATGGGTAATTTGTCCAAGTTGTGCTCAAAAATACAAACTTAAATCTTGGCATTTCCATAGATAGCCTGGCGTTAGGACCCATAACAGCTACAGAATAGTTATCGTACAATCTGGGCTACTCGCGTAACTTTAAGAAGTCCCAAAACGATGAAATGAAACAGTCCTTCCTGTTCAGCTGGGGGGCCCGATGTGGCCAGGTGTCTGAGGAGAGGAGAAAGTGAATATTCTGCCCTTTTTTCCAGTCATGATTTTAACACAAAAGTAGAAAGAGATAGTTTTTTGCCACCATTGAGAGAAACATGTTTTCAAAGTTTCCGACAGGAGTTTTGACTCGTAGGTGTTGCTTCTTGATTTGATTCATCCCCTTGTGCACCCACTCATAATAGACCCAAGTGCTGTTTTTAGCCACATCAGACAGTGTAGGATTTTTTTGTCTTGATTGCAGCGGTGTTCAAGCTCCTCTTACGGAAGTGACTCATAAGTTAGCGACCTGTTTGGTCGACTGGAGCTGTTTATAGCTCCACTGTCTCTCACACCCACGACCGTTCACACAAACATGCAGATACTAATAGAGGATCCAACAGCTCTTCGATCACATGAATGTGCAGGTATTTATACACAGATGTTTACAGTAGAATACCACACTTGACACATCTGTGTTTAAAATTAAAACTGTGTTGTCACTGAGGGGGTTTTTTTTAGTGCTAACTAAATGTCATGTTTATAAGTGTTGTTTGGTGTTTCGCAGGCAACCTATCGTCCTTTCCTGCGACAGATCCTGGAGGAAGTCTTCCACCCTGACAGAGTTGAATGTCCCGACATCGAGCACATGTCTGGAGGCCTCACTGACCTGCTTAAGACTGGCTTCAGCATGTTCATGAAGGTCAGACATTGTCTTCACACACATGCAGATTTGTATGTAATGGGGTCAGCTCACACTCTTCTAGCCTTTCCTTTGCCATGCCTGTGGACAATAAAGTGCTTTCTTCCATCGCTTGAACTTGACCTGATTTAACAGTTTGCTGAGTAAGCTTCTCATGTGTGCACATACACAGTGTTTAAAATAGTGGTCCAATTAAACCATCAAAACCAGCACTATGTAACCTGTGTTTACCCAACACTTTTAATTCCCCTGACCCACAATTCTCCCCTTAGACACATAATGTACAGGCCTCCTCACAGTAATATGCTTGCATTCAGTTTTATAATTAATACTGCACACATGATCGCATTGTCAATTAATGCAATTACTGATTCTGCACTCAGGAGCTGAAAGAAAAACACAATGTAGGGACCATTTACACAAGGATCACACTTTATAGGACAAACAGCCACGTGTCTCCACATGGAGTCACCAGCTGCTTCTTTTCACATTTACAAAGCGCAGCATGCTTCACCACATGGGCTTCACATCCACACCACTACTTTTCTTGCCAAGTGTTGCCGCTGTTGGTGACTTGTTTGTAGAGGCTTGTCTTGAGCTGGGGAATCAACCAATTGGTGGTAACCAATTATATCAGATGTTTGATGAAGATTGGATGAAGTCTATTAGATATGGAATGAAAAAGACAGAATGTCATTGCCAGGACCAAATAGGCATGGCCTGTATTTGTTGGATTTTTGTAAAGGTTCTCCAGAACGTAAGGACGAGTAACATGCTGAAAAATGGCTTAACTCAGAAAACTGTGTACTGTCAATGCAAACACATCTAACTACCTGACTGTTGATTAAAATGAAATCAGACAACCATTTCCACTACTGGGGATTGTGGGGATTGTAACTGGAAAGAACTCACATCAAGCCCTTTCACACAGCCTGCTCAAAGCGGCCGTTATTCTGCCTTGCTGTCCTGTATAAAAAGTTAAAACCTGTAATGGGCAGACAGAGTTGTTCGACCGTAAAGCCAGCAGCAGAGGTTGTAAAACATTTGTTGAAAAGGGACAGCCAGCACGGCAGGACTGCACACACACACACACACACACACACACACACTAGACACCAGACATCAATGCTGTTGTGTCACACACCATGCCTCTTGCTTCAGAACAATGGTGTGTGATCTAAAATCACACGCTGGGCAAAACCGATGGCGCTGGGAGTCTTCTTCTTCTTGGTGACTGGGGATAGCTACTGATAGGAAAACAAAAGCTCTATCCTTTTATTATTGTTGGTTGTGCAGTGGCTGACGTACTTCCTTTGTGCGGTAAATCGAGCCTTCATTTTCCCAGGAGATCATACCTGGTGGAAGACAGAATTGCATCTTAATAGTGAGGCTTCTAGGAAACCAATTTGAACACTGCTGGTGTCATTAAATAGCCATTACATTGTGCAATCAGCATTTACTTCATAATGATATCACCAAGACCCATGTCTATTTCCACGTTAATAAGAAACTATGAGGCAGCAAAGGTCTTAGGTTTGAGCCTGTTTGTAGACTTACAACATTTTCAAAAACAGGGATCAGCACCCACAGGGAAACAGTTATTAAAAGCAAAGCAGTAAGCAGCACTGATCATCTGAACCATTTAAGGTTTGACATATTACAGATGTAACATTACAATCCAGCAGCTCCATTAAGAATCAGTGTATGATACAGTCTCACATTCAGCCCATGAGTCAGTTCAGTTTGATTTCTGGATTTCAAGTTATTAGAGTTTTTTTAAATCATTCATTTAGATACTTTCGATTTACTGGTCCATCTGCGTCCCAACCCTCAAATATGGTCATGAGCTGTGAGTAGTGACCGAAAGAATGAGGTCATGAATAGAAGTGGCCGAAATGAGTTTCCGCAGTGTCTGGGCTCAGCCTTAGAGATAGGGTACGGAGCTTGGACATCCGGAGGGAGCTCGGAGTAGAGCAGCTGCTTCTTCACGTTTAAAGGGGGCAGTTGAGGTGGTTCAGGCATCTGATCAGGACGCCTCCTGGACGGCTCCTGTTGGATGTGTTCCAGGTATGTCCCAATGGTGGGAGGCCCCAAGGTAGACCCAGAACATGCTTCAGGGATTACATATCTTGTCTTGAGTGGGAATGCTTCGGGGTCCCCCAGGAGGAGCTGGAAGGCATTGCTGGGGAGAGGGACGTCTGGAATATATTGCTTGCCTGCTGCCCCCATGACCTGACTTTGGATAAGCAGTTGAAGATGGATGGATGGATGGATGGATGGATGGGTTAGATAGTTTCAAAAGTGTAACCACTCTACAAACGTACATTTTAATCAGCTGTTTTGCTTCACAATAATTATTGCATTTAAACATTGTGCCAGGTCACTGCCTCAGAGAGTTACATTTATTTTTAAGGCACAGGGTAATCCTCAGATGACACCAGCCCAGTGTGGTCCAGGCACTCGAGGAAAACAAGCTTAATGGGAACAGGAACAAATGCTGTGAGTGGCCAGACAGTAGTCTGGAACACTGTCTTAGTCACAGGAAAGCCTTTATTATTCTTTATTAATCCATTTTAACCCAAAATTCACCTTTTATGAAAAAAAAAGCAGTTTGGTTTGCAGAGAATGTGAAATTGTTGGCAGGAATTACACACTTTCAATCATTCATTTCAAAGAGCAGAATTTCTGGGTTATGTTATTACTTTGGCTGAATGTTTTTCTCCAACAGACATATAGTTTAGGGCCTGTGGGTAACGTATATCCACCGCAGAGCAGATCACTATCCATTCTATGGTCTGATTATTCCACATCTGGGTCTGCTTAAACTGATGATTACCCGGGGGGAAGAATTAGACTGGTTGTGTAACCATGGCCTGGTTTTACACAAATTGAGAAACTTGGCCCACGAACCACCAACTCAGATGGAGTAAATCCATAAACATGAACTTTGGAGCACACTATAGGAGTACACCCTTCATGCTATAAAACAAGCCAATAAAACTTCTATTTTTAAACACAGAGCCTTCTGTGTACTCCACAGTTAGTTTATACCATTAAACACACCGGACTCTGCAGTCTGGATCGTGCCCAAGTGAGAGCTTGTGCAGTGTTACTTAAACTGTCCATAACCCAATTGTGTATGTGTGAGTTTGTGTCTAGTCCTTGTTTAGACAGCCCAAGTTGTACAGGAGACCTGGCTCGTGCTCCTTCATAATTGAAGAGCTTCATAATTCAGCTGCAGTTCCTCCATCTGTAGCCCTTAAATCACCAGATATCTCAGATTTATGGGAGCAATTTGCTATTTGCTTACAGTAACTAATGGTCCATGAGAGCGGCCACACTTTGTTTCAGTGTGATCGCGTGTTTTTCACATTTGCATCTGACAGTGTGGCACATTGCTTTGTGGTCTCTTGCTTTAAAAGTGATGAAATAAATGAAAATGATTGGGATGTATGACAACAGGACCTGCAGCGCTGACTTTCAGACATTACCTGAGCAACACTGGCAACATGCCTCCAAACTTTAAAATCAAAGGTACTGAAATCATCTTTGATACATAGAGCAGCAGGTCCTGGGATACAACAGCGGATGTATTTGGGTCAGCTTTTAGATAGATTGAAATGTTGTGAATTTGTTGAGCATTGCTTTTATTTTGAAGTACCCAGGGTTCCCACAATTAGGGAAAACTGGGAAAAGTCATGGAATTCCACAATCTTGTTTTCCAGGCCTGAAAAAGTCATAGAATTCTGTTGTGTCTAATAAAGTAATTGTTACAGTAAGCCTTTCCCGTAATGTCACATAATGGCAAATTTATTTTCTGTAGCTGTTGATGCATTCTCGGAACCCATCGGCTGTATTTGGCGTCTGACTTCCGGCAGACGGCGATAGAGTGCCGAAGTCACGCCCCTTCCGGTGAAGCTCATGGGACCTTAGATGGGAAAAAATATGAATGGTAGTGAATGAGGAGAGAAATATTATCTTTTGTTCCTGTTTGAGTTGTGACATGAAATCCAAATATGTCGTTAATGAATTTAAAACATAAATTTTAAGGTCAAGAAAATCATACTTTGTGGTAAAACTGTTGAGATATAAGCTTTTGAAAAAAACGTAATTAGAAAGACTACACAGGAGGCGGTCGCGTATGTGACGTCATAGCTTTCGCTCGCTTCCTGCAGCTTGGAGTGACTGCAGCCTGGCACAAAACACACAGACATCTTCAATCATAAATCGATTAATCATAAAACAGTGGAATTTCAGCGGGGAGGCCAAGCTGCAGGAAGCGAGCGAAAGCTATGACGTCACATACGCAACCTCCTCCTGTGTACTCTTGAGTCTTTCTAATTAAAAAGCTTATATCTCAACAGTTTTACCACAAAGTATGATTTTCTTGACCTTAAAATTTATGTTTTAAATTAATTAACAACATATTTAGATTTCATGTCGCAACTCAAATGGGAACAAAAGATAATATTGCTCTCCCCATTCACTGCCATTCATATTTTTTCCGATCTAAGGTCCCATGAGCTCTACCAGAAGGGGCGTGACTTCGGCACTCTATACAGCCTCTGGGGACAGACCCCCGATTTTTTGGCATTCAGGTTTGATTTGGGTGGAGGAGGCGAATTTCTGTTTCTGACTTCCGTTTATATATAGGTAAATATGCTGAACCATTGCGATGGATTCAGAGTTTGCAGTGACGCCAATTATGTTCCGTCTCGTTAGTTCACCACACGGACCGTTTAACGTGGCAACAACTGCAGCCGGCTCAAACGTGATTGGTCAATATCACACGGACTACAAACAGCCTACAACCGGAAACCAGGGCTCATCCGCTCTTCTTCCAGAGGCAAGATCTCCAGGGTTTGCCTACAGACTCTACATTCACTGAATGTAGAGTCTGTATATAGAGACTACTGTTGATGTAACGTATCTCTAGTATGCATGGATTTGTGACATTTTGTTTACCATCACCTGCGCTTCTTTATTTTCTCCCCGCGCTCCATGTCTCCCTCCAGGTAGCTGGAATTATGTTTGAATAGAATTTGGATTTGTTTGAATAATGCTAGGAAAGTGGGGTAAGATAAATCTTTGGGTTGGGTCATAAATCTCAATTTTTTTATACCTGCATCCCACTGATACTTTTAAATTGCACCACATTTTTAAAATGAGCAATTGACATAGGAAGCCTATGGCGTTCAGTTGTTACTCAGAGCACCAGTGCTCACTTTGGTTTCCTTAAACTGCTCTGAAAGTATAGAGCATGCTGGTTTGAAAGTACAGAGCATTCTGTTTTTTTCATACCAACATCACTGTCAGCTGTCCCTCCTCTAGTCAGGGAACTCTTCTGCTCCAAGTCCACAGACTGCCCATAATAATAATTGGAGTAAAGTGCACAATACAGTACTGTTTGTTATACGTTGTGAATGGTCATGACACATGTATTATGGGTTCTTGAAAAGCCAAGTTTTAAAATTCTGTCCATGAAAATTTGTGGGAACCTTGAGTACCGTTTCCTACCTCTGAGCAGGTTGCCAGTTGAGAGATGGGACATTTTTTATTTTTGAAATTATAGGCTATTGTTACAACACTCTACACACTTAACACAAATCCTTACACCAAACCAGCAAAACATTACACAAAAGCAAGCAATTCTTGCAACAAAAAAATACTCTACACTCTTTTAAAACTCGTTATAGCATCAGTACAGTACACACAAACCATCAGCTGCTGCAGTGCTGTAGCTAATGTGGATCCTAATACACTAAACTAATTGAATAAGCACACGGATCATTAGCTACACACTGATAAAATAAATGAAAAGCACCTGCGTCTTTTGCTTTTTCCATGTGCAGGGTATAGCAGATTGCAATTAAGCTTTGGATACATGTAGTAAACACACATACACACAGGTATCCAAATGTGTAAACTATGTATGTGTATTCCTAAATGTTCTATCACTCCTCAAACAACCAAAGCCAAAAGTGGAAAATAAAAACATTTGTGTTAGATTTAAAAAAGAACAGAAAACATTAGGTGTCTTCCTTGTGGGTCTGGCCGTTAGACTTCATCCACGTCTCTTAGTCCAATTTCGGCCTCCATTGTTGTCCAAACCAAATGTTTACCTGTGGCCTATTTATAGTTCTGAAGCTCTGAAATGTAAGTGAACTCATTATGTAAAAGCGGTTTTAAATGTGTCAGTGTGGAAAGACATTTGGCAAAATAGTGTAGCGATGTAGAGACTAATGTTTGCAGTTTTCCTAGAAGGTGTGATTTTCAGCCAGCTTTGTTTCATAACAGTGTGGGTAGGATGTGTAAATGAACTGATAAACATTCCTCCATCTTGTCAGTGGCCTGTTCATCACTCATTTCAAAGGCAGATGAAGCAAATGCATCATCATATGGGTTTAGGGCTGTTTGCTCAAACTACAGATTGTACCTCTACATTGCCTATTTCTCACCTGTTTTCAGAAACATATTTAAGCTTACTGTTTAACTGTAGTTTGAGATAGCTTGTCGCCAGCCATCTGCCATATTGCTGTCTGTATTTAACTGGTATTACGTCACCCTCCAGCAGGAGCGTTTATTGATCCAGTGCAACCCAGTGCATTCTGGTTGTTGTAGGTTTTCTACCTCGAGAGCAAAAGCAAATGCCACAGCCCTTTAACCCTGTTTTCTCTGGTCAGTATTTGTGACTGAGGCATCATGCCGCTCCTGTGTGTAATATTAGGTAGGCGCGACAGGTGTGTAATGTAACACAACTGCATTTGCCTCTAGTGTGACATATAAGATATGTCTGCAGTGCTTTCTAAAGAATACCAAAACATGGCTTCAATAATTTACCGTCTCTGTCATATGGCGTCTGATCTCGTCCTCTGCTCTGACGATAAGGAGCTCCTGGACTTCAGTGTTTTCCCAATTTGTTGCTGTTTTTCTTCTTTGAGTTAGACACTAGCTGCTATCAGCTTCTTTTTAAATCTCCCATGGTGGGTTGCGTGCATAACACATCCTCAAAACGTCACACTCGTGCCACCCATGATCCCGTCCTGCTGGGTGTCCCATTTATACAGACATTTCAGCGCTCAGAGGCAAGACAGCTCTGTCCCATGATCCTAATTATCCTACCTGTATTCATGCCTTGAACAGGCAGTTTAAAAGGGGCCACTGTTAGTGTTTGAGCTTTCAGAAAGAAACATTAAAATCACTGTTCTGGAAATTCACTATATTCAATTTTCTTATTTTGTTTGTTGACTCCTGACAAGAAAAAGGTCCTGGGTTTGAATCCACTGACAGGCAGAATGGATGGGAATCATCTGAATGTGTTTTCTGATGATCTATTGTTTGAGTGTGACCTGCATGGAAATAGTGGACTTGTTAATATAGTGGATGTTTTGCTCAAGACAATAACAGCTCATAGCCAGCATTAATTATTTAAAGAATTTATATCAAGAAAATGTAGTGAGCGGTGTCTTTAATAAAGCCTGGGGATGTATTTTGTCATCATGTTTTCTTCGCCTCACTCACACTTGGCAGCACATTTCCCCTCTCTTTTTCACACACTTCCATAAGCCCTTCCCTCCCTGTCTATCCCATGGCAGTACACATGGTCTAGACATTGAGCCACAGTGTGTGTGTGTGGATTCACTAAACATGCAGCTGGTGATGTACTAGCACATTGAGTTGTTGTGTCTGTTTTGTCTTCCCGTGCCACAGAACCCCGGTTGAAATACCAAATCTCATATGAGCAGAATACTCTCGAAAAAATTTCCTCTCACATTTTTTGGCTAAACACATGTTGAATCATCCTCGACATGCTTTACTCCCAGCCTGCTGGTGCTTCACGTGTACAGCCACTCTCTCCTCGGGTCCGCCCCCTGCAGCTCTGATTGCTCGGTTAGCATTCACAGGCTGCAGATGTGTCCTGACTGGCGCTTGGCAACCAATGGCACAAAGCCATTATTTCACCTACAGCCAATCGTGCTCAGCAGAAACAGCGGACTGTTAAAAGTCATCTTTGTGTGGGACTTTTGTTTGTCTGCATGTGTTGTATGAGTGTGTGTGTTCACCTGCTTACATGTCCACGTGTCAGCCGTCATATTAACGCTAGGGTGAGAACACATTCATCCACTTAGCTTTGTTTTGAGACATGAGTCTTAATAGAGTCCACTGTCATCATCACAGTATCACAAGTGTTCAGCTGAGCAGTGACTCAACATCAACACACACACACACACACACACACACACACACACACAGGGAATGACTAGGTGTTACCTACTGAGAGTGAGTTGTTTGTTACAGACTGTTCTATAGTAAAGGCCCTGACACACCAAGCCGACGATCGGCCATCGACCAAAGTCGGGCCTTTGGTGAGCATCTGTTGGCCTAGTTTTTGCGGTGTGTCCCGCACCGTCGGCCCTGCGGCGTCGGCGTCAGTGGCTTTTCGGACGATCGAGCATGTTGAATCGGCGGCAGAGCTAGTCGGTGACAGAGATCACTCTGATTGGCTGTTTAGGTTTCATTCCCTCGCCTCTGTAGCGAGTGAATCTGCCTGTAGTGATACCGGTGCTTCCTCCTCAGGCTCCACTTCACTCAGCTGCCTGACAGATCCGCTGCTTCTTCCCACTTTAACCTGAATAACAAACCAGAGCTAGCTGGGAGCATGACCGGAGGGAAGCACAGCCAGTTAGCCTCCGCTAGCTTCCCAGCTAGCCCCCGCTCTCCGTTTGAATCCAAATGGAGAGCGGGGGCTAGCTGGGAGCAGCTAGCACAGCATGACCGAGGGAGGCACAGCCAGTTAGCCTCCACTAGTCCCTGAGCTAGCCCTGGCTCTCCGTTTGAATCCAAATGGAGAGCCGGGGCTAGCTGGGAGCGGCTAGCGCACACCTCAGCTGTCAGGATGTACCACTCTGTCACTCCACTCTCTCTCACGCAGGCGCAGAACGTACGTGCCACTTGGCCGTCGGATGTAGTCCGTGTAGTGTGTTCAAATGCAACTGACACAGGGCGACGTGAGGCGACACAGCAGTTGGCTTTCGGCGCCACTAGTTCTTTGATGTCGGTTTGGTGTGTCAGCTCCTTTAGACACAGCATCGACTCCTCCGACATCTTAAAAATACACTGACCAATCACAATGTCCTTTCTTTACTCCAGGTGAGTCGCCCACATCCCAGCGACAACCCTCTGCTCTTCCTCTTCCTGGTTGGTGGGGTCACGCCCTCAGAGCTTCGTCTCATCAAAGAGATGGTTACGACACATAAACCAGGGACCCAGGTAAGTAGGCAACTGTCAGATGACTAACATGTGCATCCTCACGTGTGTGAGTCCTGTTGACTTCTTTTTCTGTCATGTTCTGTAATGAGCTCTGTTTTAGTTTCATTTGCCATTTTCTGTTTGGTATTGGGGAAAAAAAACACTCATCATTCAAACTGTCATTTAAGCAGACCTGGTGACGTCTTTCAGATCACTTCAAGAGAATGACACTAAGATTACTCTCACTGAATCTTTGTGAGACACACAAATACAATCCCTCTCAATAATCACTTATAACCCACTACAAGTGTGTGGCAGTGTATTGTTAAGCAGAGACTCTGCCATCTGCTGATATTTTCTTAATTTACTCTTATATTCTGTGTTTGAAACGTTTATGGACATGTAACCCCACAGCATTTAGGTGAGGTTGGGGCTTTGTAAAAAGGTAGTAACCAGGTACCAGACCATAAGCAACAGACGTCGAAAGAGACACAGCTGAAAAAACACAAACACCATGCGAGTGAATCTGGGGTTGGCTTTACTTTAACTTTCACTGGCGAGCATGTTTGCAAACAGTAACCAACAATCCTGCGTAGTATACCTTTAAAGTTTTAAGCAAGCAGGAACCTCAGAGCTTACAAATGAAGCCAACACATTTGGAGAGGCCAGCCAATCCCCATAGACCCTGTTTTATTGGTATTTGTGTTCCATTTTATGCTACTTCTACTCAACTACATTTTAGATGTTCATTTTTTTTACTCCGCTAAATTATATTTGACAGCTACACTTGTCGAAATTAAAATACAGCAGTAAAAATACAAGCGTATAAGGCAGTATCAGGGATAACACAACAAAGCCCAAGACTTAGTTCCATCGTAGTCCCTGAATCAATTTATAAAGTATGATGCATTATTTTAGATATAAATATACATATAAAAGAGTGTGTTAAATGGTTAATCTTAGCACTACTTTGATCAGCTAGAGCAGGGTCAGCAACATTTACTATCAAAAGAGCCAAAAAAAATTGGCCAGAAAAAGTTATATGTAAGGTTTGCCACCTGTGAAAACACTGAAGAACATTAAAAAATGTTTTAATCGTTGATTTCAGTGATAAAGACTCAGATAAATGAAATGCAAATAAACACCCACAGAGCTTTGAGTCAGCCAACAAGTAGAGGTGCAACCCAACAGGCCACTCTCTCAATAACAAGGTAAGGTTAGCATCTCTAATCTATGTTTCTTGATACTTGCAGATGGATGTGTTATTGATGTATCAATTAAAAACAATGCAGATAGAGATTATGTGTGGATGATTAATCAACATCCACTTCATAGTCTTTTGTTGTTATATCACAAGCAGTCTGTAGGAGGGTGCATGTTGCTGCTGATGACTCATTCAGATTATCTTCAAAAAGCATTCATGTTCCTTTAGAAACACAAAACTGTGAAATACAAATTTGGTGAGAAAAAATTAAATGGAGTCTGTTGAACTAAACTGACATTGAATTGAACTGAGTCATCTCCAGCCATAATACATCAGATAATTGGGGATAAAAATAAGGAGAGACTCTGTTTTGTTGCACATTTAGGTGACCCTCGCAGGGCAGGTTTCAGACTGGCCCTGGCTCAAAAGCATTCATGTTCCTTTAGAAATACAAAACTGTGAAATACTGATTCAGAAAGAAAAATTAAAATGGAGTCTACTGAATTGAACTGAAGTGAATGAGTCATCTCGAGCCAAAATACAACAAATAATCAGAGAGAAAGACGTAGAAAGACTTTGTGTTTTCGGCACAATTAGGTGAGCCTTGGAGGACAGGTTTCAGGCTGAGTGAACCAACGTAAATGCTGACCTACATACACAGGAGGCTCAGATCAGGTGTAGAGGTGCGAGTTTCATCTGAGTGTGGCACGTATTAACACTGCAGTTGCATCCATGAGGTGCTGGATCTGTCTGTCTGTGTGTTTGGGTGGTTTAAGTGCTGATTATATATGCGGTCCACACTGACATGCAAAACATGCAGATGGATGCGTTTCCTTGGTGCCAGAGGAGTGCAGGGAAGGTGAAGAAGGAGCTCAGGCTGGGTAATGTGGGTTTGTCTTAATAAAAGGCTTTGAGAATGAGGCCAGAGGCAATGAAAGGCCTGGCGAGGATCAAAGCCTTCCATCTGTAATCAGGAAAACTGAATTAAGACGAGCTTATACAATAATAGGCTGGCTGGCCCACACACATGCTGATCTCAGCACACGCACTCCAACCTGAGCACGTACATGTATAACATACTGTAAGCAAGCCTGTGTATGAATGATAGCAGATTTCAGTGGACCAGACGTTGATGAACACTGAAAACATACTGCAAAGTTTTGGTCTTGCACTTGGACTAAATTCCTCTGAAATACACTAATGCTGCCACTACAAACAGGCCTTGTGCCAATTTTAGGTGCTGACCCAGAGTTAAAGCAACACTGCTGCAGAGAAACAGAGCGTCTCTGTTATACAACACAAGAGGACGGGGGTTCTTATTCCATCCAGAAAGCACTCAAACATGGCAAACTTCAGCGAAAAGTAACTTATATAAATAAATTTACTTACTTACTTACTTACTTACTTACTTACTTACTTACTTAAAGGGACAGTTCACCCCAAAATCAAAAACACATATTTATAAACTTACCTGTTGTGCTGTTAATCACTTTAGATTGTTTTGGTGTGAGTTGCAGAGTGTTGGAAATGTCGGCCGTAAGGATGTTTGCCTTCTCTCCAATATATTGGAACTAGATGGCACTCGAGTTGTGGAGCTCAAAGCTCCAAAAAATACATTTGAAAAACTCAACAGAAATGTCTCTTTCCAGAGATCATGACCCGGTTACTGAAGATAATCCACAGACCTTGTTGTGCACAGTTTCATGTAGGAACTATTTTCTTGACAGCATTTTGGCATACTCTCATAGCAATAAAATGCACCACTTGAGCAGTGTCTTCAACGTCACTATAATAACATCAGGAGCCCCCCATGGCATCAAGCGTCATTATTTGACGTTCAGGACAATTGATACGGCATAAGGAATGCAGATCTGCTTTGATGGGTGGGTAGGGAGTTGGGTAAGTTCAAAAAGCACAGGACTTTGACCTAAGAAAGTGGTGTTTGTATCTTATTTGAAACTATGGTTGCTTTCAATCAAACTCAAGTTCATTTGCCCCCTTAGTGCGGTTCGTTTGTGCAGGTGTGAACACAGCAATCACACTCAGGTCCACACCTAAACAACCGGACCGAGACCTTCTTGAAGAGGTGGTCTCAGTCCGGTTACAAACAAACTCTGGTGCAGTTTGTTTGTGGTGAGAAGGTGTTCCAACCTGGATCTGAACCAACTGCAGTCACATGACACATTGTTTGGGTTAAACATGAGCATGTTACAGTCCTGGAGGATTATTAATGTGCACCTCCTCCTGTACTGCCTTAATATGCACATTCAGCACATCCAATGCATCAAAACATTGTTTTCTAGTTGGAGCCGCGCCTCGTTTTCAAACTGTATGGTTTGACTAAAATGAACAATGACAGCAATATAGTCCACGATGAGCAGCGCTAAAATCAACCTGCGTAGTTGTCCCTCCATTGTGACATTAGAAAGTGTCACATTTATCTTGCAAGTGTACTCTTCTTCAACGTTTGCTTTACTTCCTGGATTTTTCCCACATGGAAATTCTGACCAATCAAGAGCAGCTTTCTCACACAAGGCATTTGATCTGGTCCTCTTGTAAATGCTGCCGTGAGAACACGAACCAACTCTAGGCAATTATACAACTTTGTAAAAAATAAATGAGTCCCTGATTCGGATCAAAGGAGACGACTCTAGGTCTGAAAGCACCTTAAAAGTCATTAGTCACTCATTAGTAACATGAATTGCCTCACATGACTTAAATCAATCACGGTCGTTGCCTGACCCTAATCAAGTAGTTTTCACACCTAACCCTATTCTGATCTCAACGTTCAGTTTTTTTGTTACATCAGTCGTTGTAGTCGTTAGTAACAAGAGTCATTAGTCATGAGTCGTTAGTCATGACATGACGAATATCAAATATAATAATTTCCCAACCATATCCAAGTAGTTTTGTTGCCTGAACCCAACCATCATCCCCTTAAAGTCACGTTAGTTGACTCACATGACTCACTGTTGACACCTTCCACATCCAGATGTGCCAACCCCTTCTGTATCAGGACACAACACAAAAGGCTGCCTTCCGGCGTCATTGTAATAACACAGTGGGCTTCTGCTTAAGTGCCATCTAGCTCCTTTTGGAACTTTTGGATCCACACCAAATTCAATCACTCCTTTATTTAGTCATCTCAGGACTTTCCACCAATTTTCATTTAGAATAGAGTGAAAAGTGATTCTCCACTTCAGATTCAGCTTTAGTGACAAACCCCTCACCCCCTGTAGATTTCACAGGTGAATGTAAAAGGTTTGCTGTGTGTCATCCCCTCTCTCTCCCTCCCCTCTTTGCTGTCACTCTCCAGCTGCTCTGTAATAAAAAAAAAAGTTTGTGCCAGTAGTTTGTTTCTTTACATAGATAAAGACTGCACAGCTTGAATTCTCAGAAGTTATGTATGTGTGTAATGTGAAGCTCCTTTCAGACATGTGCGTTATTACATAAATGAGATGACAATCTTGGGTTTTGGTCTTGTGTCTGAAAACTGTTTTGAGACTGACTTCATTATCCTGGCAAAATAAAATAAAATTGAACAAGGGATAGTTTTGGCTTACCAAAAAGTACTCTTGAGATAATACGCCCCCTAAAAACAGTCAAACAATGAAAACAAACTGAGCCCACTGCATCCTTGGCAGAAGTAATTAAATCAAATTAAGAAAATAAACCAGTTGCCAAGGCTCCCGATTCATGCACCTTGATGATTGCCAATTTGCACATTACTAACCCTGACATTCACATCTGCTTCATTTATTAGTGTCGTGTTACTTCCAGTGACATTTTCTTAACCCAGTGAGTGTGTCGTTGCTCTGCTCCAGGTGCTGGTTTTGTCCACCAGATTACTGAGGCCGACGGATATCCCCGAGCTGCTCTTCACCACCCAAAGACTGTTGCCTGATATCGGTGTCTAAAAGGGCCGTCACGTGGAAACGCACGAATGCACACGTGGAAGGACACATGCACCGCAAACGTCACAGCGCCTCGTCAGGTGTGAGTCTGGTAATCAGAGTCACTGTCAAAAGCTGCGAAATGAAAAAGAAGGACGTGTTTCAGAAATTAAGCAACATTCCTGTTGTGTTCATGTCTAATTTAATTCTGAGGGGAACTGTTATTATGTAAAAGTAGCTGTTGGGTTTATTTTTCTTGAAGACAGAACAGAAAATGTCTGAGCGAGAGATGTGAAACGACATCAAATGATAATATGTAACAATAAAATCTTTTTAAACAGTCACGTGTGATGATGTCTTTGCACACATAAGGCTCAGTGAAAAGCAGGCTGTGTGTGTGAACACGAGGAAGGCTTCCTGTTTATGGTGGAGTGAATACACACTCTCTGTTAGCGCCCATTCACACCTCGACACATCATATGGTGACAAAGAAGAGCGGAATAATTAACAAGTCGTTTCACACTGTCTGCTGAGGCCGCTAATTTGCTCACACTTTGAGCTCACCTACACCTTCCTGCACCCCCCCCCGCCTCACACACAAGTACACACCTCCCATTCTCTCTTTATTCTCTCCAACATGAATCACCTCAGCTAGAGCTCACTAATTTCACCCACCTACACGCCTGAATCGATAGTGAACAAGAGTCCCCCACATTTTGTCACACAGAGAAAGAGAGACCAGTAAATCCCTCTGACAGGCTGGAACACCACACTCAGGATTCACCAATTAGGCTTTTGGATTGTAAATAAACAGATCTCTCTAAAATAACACACACACTCAGTTTTATTGGAAAAGCGTTCATATCATTTTCTCCTCATCTTCTGGGAGCTTGCAATTCTCAGAAGACTCCCCAAGAAAAACTAACATAAATTCTGCAGTGCTGTTGGTTTAGGCTGCTTCAACACCTTTTTTTGTCAGCCTCATTTTCTGGGGTGACTGACTGCAGCAGGGTTTTAGCTGCAGGAGGATCTCAAGGCCGGAGAAGTGGCTGTACAGTCATGCCTCTATTGTCTTCAATGCTATTCATTAATGCTGTTATGGCAACATTTTATAACTTTTTCTGTGAGTCATCCCCCTCACAGCGGCAGAGGTGTTTCTCATTGTGTTGTGGAGCCAAGGTCATCACAGGCTCAAAAACTTATGAAATGCATATGTGCTTGATACACATATGCAAACTCATAAATGAAAAACCGGAGACATGTTCAAATTCATCATTTTTATTGTGAACAAACAGTGAATTTCTATCAAACAAATAAATAACAATAGGCCCTTTGGATCATTTTTTTTATAAAGTGCATCAGTGATAATAACCACCACATGCTACATACTGTGTCCGTTGTCCCGTTACAACCCCCACCCCACCTCCTCTCATCATTCTGTCACACACAATAATGATTCTGGATGCTGCAAAAATATACTGCAGGTATCGACATACTAGAGTGCACACACATACACACACATGGCAGCACAGAGCCTTGGCTGAAGTGGCTGATATAATAATACCAGCATTTAGTGGTGCCATGTAGTGGCAGTCTGAATACAGAAAAGACACAATGGGCAGCACAGCTAAAAATAAGCGTCCTCGAGCGCTGCTGTTGCCAGGAGAGCTCGATTTACAGTTTTGATTTTTATATGCAGAGTGTTGGGATTAGTCAGCCTCACACAGCTGCCTCTGTGTCCTCAGGTGTCATTTCTACTCCTGAACAAATGAACCTTCTCGCTGCTTATCCTCACACATGGTATCTGACAGGACAGACACCTGCCACATAGAGGCCATTGCGTCTGTAAAGGTTCATCAGCCTCTCTCTACTTAGAACCCAACCACTGTTCATTCCATCTGCCTTCTTCAGCCAGACAGATACAGGACGTCATGGGAGAAGCATTAGTCTTCTCTGTCCTCCTTTTCTCTACCATTTTCAATGCTTCCTTTCTTTCTGTGGCCACCCTGGACCACGTTCAACATCTCGTCCTCCTCACACAGATGTGACAGTCCTCACTTTGGCTGACAGCGCCTGCTTGAAGCGCCTCTTCAGGTCTTGCATGTTGGGAGACTTTGGCCGGGGGATGAGGGGCGAGCGCCTCTTCTCCGTGGCGGCGCTGGCAGAGGTGTGTGAGGAGTTGGGGGCAGGAGGTGGCTGCTTGGCGAGCTGGCAGCACAGCTTATGGAAAGCTTTGTGCACCTGGCTGTAGTCCTCGCTGGCAGACACTTCATAGAAAGAGCAGCCCAGCGTTCCCGCCAGCAAAGGGCCCTGCTGGGAGTCGACCTGCCTCAGGTGCAGCAGGTCCGCCTTATTGGCCAGCAGGATTACGGGAGGCATGTTGGCGCCTCCGGTGCGCACAACCAGCTGGTGCAACTGATCGAACAAATCAAAGCTGCGACGGTCTGTCACAGAGTACACCAGCACCACTGCATCAGCCCACTGTATGGAGCAGGTCACATGATCTGGTAGATTGATGCCATTATCAGTCAACTGGGGAGGAAAGAAAAAAGGAGACTGATTAAAACACTTAAGACATTTTAATCATTTTCTGATTAACAAAAAAATGAAGATTGAACGTTCCCTGACTTCATGCAACTGATCTTTAGTAATGACTGGAATGTTGACTGAGGCAGACATGAGCTATAGGGTTTCTCCTCCAGGACAGTGAGGTGTGGGCGACTGAGGAGTCTGGACCAGGATCAGGGTATCATTTACCCTGGCCTCAGACATCCATTAGCCTAAATAGGAGATTACAGCCAGACTGAAGGGCTCTACTTCAGGAGAAAATATACATACACATACGTCTTTGGTTTTGGACTGGAGCCCAGTCAGAGAGAGGTTTAGATGGTCTTAACAGCCAGACAGTCAATTAGATTATATTATCTTTGTATTGGATTATCCTCCACAGATTTTCATATGTTGAACCCTGACAGCTCAGTTTCTTTACAGTCAGCTCAGGGAAAATAAACCATAATCTGTCTGAGGAGAGGAGAGCTTGAAAGACAGTCTTACCTCCACACCAGGAGTGTCTTGAACCTGGATGGTGACTTGCTCTCCATCCACCTGGACTTCTCTGGAGTAGAGATTTCCTGTAGAGAAGAAACAACATTAATTTCAACACCAATAGTATGAACATGTTAGAAAGCCATTTCAGCTCCTTTACTTCTCAAAGAGTAGCCTGTGCAGCTCAGTTACTCACCAGCATTTCTCTCATAGTCTCCGATGAAGCGCCTCGTTAGGAATCTCACCACAAGCGCTGAAACAAAAAAAGCAAGAGCACATTATGAGACAGATATAAAACAACGTAAATCACTTCAAAACGAGGATGTGAGTAAATTACACTAAAACACAAACATTTGATTTATTTTCTTACCTGTTTTGCCAACTCCGCTGCCTCCTATCACTGACATTTTAATGACCCGGTTTGGCACCGAGCATTCAGGTGCTGAGTATTCCGCAATGGTCGTCATGTTCTGGATGAGACGCATTTTTTTTTTTATTATTCGTTTCGTCGAATCCGTCCAAGAAAGCAAAATGGAAATTTGTCCAAACTGTTTCACAGCTCGCAGACAAACCCCTCAGATAAAACTGACAAAGTAAATCCTGTTTAACTCCCGAGGATGTGCGGCACAAGTAAAATAAGCCAACACTGGTGCTGTGTGGATGAGACGCAAAGACTCAATGCTGCTGTGAGAGGAGCGCTCGCGGCTTATATAGCGCTCCAGCGGCGGTCACATCTGATTGGGCGCTGGTCTGCCCCCCCTCCCTCGTGCGCCTCCGCCTACACGTGGATATTCAGGATAGACACAAGCAAGAAATGCTCTTGCAACAGGTGGGACCACTGGCTGGGTGTCCGGACTGAACAGGCTTTCTAATGGGAGGAGACGAGCGAGAGAATTTTTTTTTTTTTTTTTTTTTTTTTGCGTTACGTTTGGCTCTTGTCATGGAATATATTATCATCAAAAACAACATAAATGCCACTAAAATAATCTTATTTTGTAGTGACACAGTTTTCTCATTAGTAAATTATAAATAGTTTTCCCCACATTATTTTAGCATTACTCACATCCCCAAGTCTGTTTATACAGCACATGTTCACATGCTCAGCCTATTTCAACAGCTTTTATTATCAGCTGGATTTTCTGCACTCACTGACTGCACCAGGATTCTAGCTGCAGAATGATCTCCACCTGAGGAGTGACTGTGCAGTCGTATTGTCTTCAGTGCTGTTCATCAGTGCAAGCATTTTATAACTTTTTCTGAGTCATCCCCCTCACAGCAGCAGTGATGTTTGCCACTATGTTATGAAGCCAAGGTCATCACACAGGCTCAAAAAGTAAAAGTTTTTGACATGCACTGTCTGCATATTATGTTCTTGTCATCCTGCTGTAAAGTGCACATATGCATTTGATGATAACTGATAAATGCAAAAGAATTAGTCACATCCTCAAAGTACAACCAGCTGCTTCTTTCTTATATGCATGTTTTGTGTGGAAGTCAAGTCAGCTTATTTATACAGCGCACCTAACAATAACAGAAGTTGACCTTAATTGCTTTCCAATGTAGGCAGATAGTTCACCAGCCTAAAGCCACCACCAAAGCCAATGATACATAGTGTAATTAAGTAAAACAATAATAGAGAAAAGGCAATGCTAGAAATAGTCGGAGTAATAATATGGATAGTTAGGAGAAATTCCCTCCTGACACCAGACGTCAATGTGACATCAGAAAGACATTGGACTCTTATGTTGGACCAATGTGTTCTCATCTCATGACCTAAATATCCAGATATGACATGCTAGGTAGCCTCCTGCTTGGATTTTAGACATTTATGGATGGCGTCTCAATTGACGTTTGTTACATGCATTTTTGTCTTCTCAAAGTACATTTCCGTTTTCACCTGCATGCAGTCTTTTTAGAAAAAAAAATCACATACTATTGCAGGTAAAAAAAACTGGTTTTGGCTATGTTTATTTTTAGGCAACAAAAGCATGTGGTTAGGTATTGAAAACAACATAATAAGTACGGTTATTATGAACATAGTGTCACGTCACATGACATCCAACCAATGGCATACGTTACTATTGTAGCATCCTACACATACTAGCACACTATGCCATTGACTTTTGGTTTCACATGGGAAACAAACAGAGAGCTGCTCTTTATACTATGGTAGTCGCTGGTAGCATCAGAAGTTGCCGCTGCTCGGTGCACATCTGTCTGTTAGCATCTACTGACAAAACAGCAGTTATGGCAAGTTTATTTGTAGCCGACAGTGACAGAAACAGCCACTGCTCG